TCTATCCCTTCGTTCGAGCGGAAGCTCGCGACGGAACGAACGGAGAATCCTCCCCCAACTTCTTTCATCACGCCCGGCCGAGTTTCCGCGATTCGATTTAAGGGCCGATACCGTTCGCGCGACGTCGTCGCCGGCGACAAACGAAATCTGGGACGATGACGAATTTAGAATTTTAAGCGCGCCAGCGCGCGCGCGCGCGCGAGCTCGCCTCGCCGCGGGGACGAAGCTCTGCAATCTGAATACTTATGGCTTCCCAAGGATCCCCGGCGAACATCCTCGCGACGCGTATCGCATTCGTGCCGCGTTCCGCGCACTACGTTAAGAATTCCAACTAATAGCCACCCAGCGGGATCCCCTCCAGCCTCGTTCCTCCAAATAAAATCGCGGACAGAGCTGCGCAGCGCGCGAGATTCGCCTCGCTAGCTGGATCTTCGCGACATTCGGTCGTACAAGGTCCCCCCGTGTCGCTTCGGAACTTTGCTGATTCAATTTGCGAAACGCTTATCCGCTTTGCTCCGAATTATTCCTTCCATAGTCTTCGCGACGGCTCCGAGGCACATTCGGCTCGAGGAACTCGCGTGTTACGTCCCAGAATCGTAAATAGTTCCCGGTGTCTTTCGGGGCAACGAGCGTGGACGCGGCTGAAAGACGAGGCGTGTTCGGGGATAACGCGAGATACGGATACGTTATCAATCCTGCCGAGTTAAGCCGGACGTAAACGTGGCGTCGTTCGTCCGTCGGCGGTCGACCTAATCCTGCAAATCCACGAGGAACGTCCGGATCCATTGGCCCGAGTGTCCCGCGACACTGGCGAGCGAACAGCCGAAAACCCTTTCCACCTCCTCCCTATTGGTATAACCTTGACTCTGCGGCTGGCGCCAGACAGTGAAAATAAGGTGGTCCCGGGATCGGTGTCCCTGCTCGTAACCGGGCCGGCCATTTAAATCCACCGAGTTGAGTAATTTACGAAGACGTCGCTTTGATCCGATTTCAAGGGGTCCCGTCCCGCGCGGATCTTTACCCTTTTAGCGCCAGCATTTACGCTCCTGCGTCAAATTTATCAAAGGATGGGACCGACCGGCCGCGAGGACGCCGCGAAAAAGGTCTCAGCGCGTTCGCGACATCTAATTTAAGTCGCGGCCTCCGCTGCCTCCGTATCGCTTACGAGTGTTAAATAATTGCGCTTACGAGGTCCGGAATAGATCATCACCTTTTTGCCGGGAAACCGCGAAACAGCCGGTACGCGAGGAGATTTTATGGTTGGTCAAACGGCGGGCTATATTTGATTCGCCGCGGCTTTTCGTCTTGTTCTTTCATTGCCTCCGCGGAACGAATTACCCGGCGTAACGAAGGGAACGGGCCAACAGGAAAGATACGGGATACGGAACGTCTCGTTCCGCGCGGTTTTATAGTTTCAGTGCCACGCGAAGCGGGTTAAACTCTCGTCCCGTCGCGCGGAACACCGCGAACACCTTATCAAACGCGAACGAGGGATATTTACGGTAGTGTTATAAGACGTTCGATCTAATAACTTTTGATAGCGGACTCGAAAGACTCGTAAGCACCCGCGGTATGTACTTACGGTACTTACGTAATCGAGCAAGTTCGCCGCATGTGCGAAGTTTCCCGATCGATATTATCAGGAAACTTGTCGATGAAATTAATTGATGGTAATACCGTAAAGAGAGCCGCGTCACGGTTATTAGCGCGAGCAGTCGAGCTAATGGCATCTTTCGCGGTGCTCGAGCCGTCGCGCCGAGACGTTAATGCAACGTAGGTGGCTACGTGTATATTTCAGGCTCGTTTCCCATTCACCGCGGAACATATTTTGTCGATTCGAGCGTTTTCGGATAAGGAACCGACGGACGTCGAAAGTTCGCGGCTTTAAAAATCCCGTCGTTCTGCTTGGTGGGAACTGAAAGGGAAGAAAGAAACGCGGGAACGCGGAACGTTGAAACTGTTGTACGAAAGAACAATATCGCGCTGAAGCTAATCTACATAATAACAGCGGGCCGCGATTAAAAAGGTCTGCGTGTGTCTGCGGGAGCTCTAAATTAATATTCCGCTGAACTCGAACAAGTGGCTGAAACTTCTCCTCGGACGTACCAAGAAACTCGCCGAGTCCCGGGAGTTTCATTAAGACATTTCGACCGAGCAAACGAGCCTTGCTTATTGCAGTTTTCGGCATTAATTAGCAGTCGACGGAGACGAACTTCGGGATGCCGTTTCTTTCGTAACGGGCCGTTATCTTCCCCGCGGATTGCCGGGGAAGGTCGTACGTATCTATTCGGTGTAGCGGGCCGATCGGCGCTATCGTTTTTCTGCTACCAAAGCGCGATAGAGTGAGCGTTAATGTAATGGCACGGAAAGGTAACCGTGAAACGGGAACTTCGTCGTGGAGAGGGCGTAAAGGCCATCGCGAAGGCTAAGCCCTTCGAGTTCCCTGCAGCCGGAGCCAAGTTTAATCAGACGGCGAATCGATGGCTTTAATTAAGGAAACGTCTTACTGCCGGGGTAGCCTAGGTGCGGCTAGGTTAATACCGTAATGTATACATTACCTATATATATACACGCGTGTATCCATATTCCTACATGAACGCGACACAACGGCCATTCCCGGGGCAAAGCTGCCGTCGTGCCGGGGCCACTTCGGTCTGTTCGCTATGTACATTCTACCCATCGACCTCGAAACCTTGAATCGCGCCTTTCATCCTGCTCCGAGTCCCGTGTTATCTCCGCCTGGCGACCCTTAACGCTGCTCTTGGTCGAGATGCAATTCTACCAGCGAGAAGCATTCGAAAAGGGACGAGAAAGAGAAAGCATAGACGACAGGGTTTCGCGAAATGAATTACTTGGAACGGAATACTTCACGATAGATCGCAAACGGCAACAGAAATGGTTCTCTCCCCCGATTTCTCGCCGCCTGTTAGCCCTATCCTTGCACCTTCTAGGACGATCGTAAAGCTATTCCACACTGCACTTCATGTCTTTATTCATGCACCCTAAATTAGATTGTCCAGGCACGCTACACGGGATTCGGTCGCATGTACCAAGGTTGGTTACACCGCGTGCATCGAATTGAGAGCCCGTAGTATATCGAGGACGAGGCGAAATCGCACGGAGAGGCGCTTTAAGATCGATCCACATTCCGCTGAATATTCTTCCGTTGTTTATTGCGTCCGGCGAACGAACGTGGAGCAAGGTAAAATCAAAATCGAACTGGGACTCATAGCCCACGCATCATACAGAATTGGATAATGTGGTCCGGAAACGGTCTGAGAATTGACCGATACCGTGTATCGCCCCTAATCGCCATAGCAGCGACAGCATCCCTGATCGAGGTTTCCTACAGGACAGGGCACGGCGTCGAAATTGGTCGGCGTCGGAGCTGATCGTCGACAACGCGTAAACGAGGCTGTGCACGCGTCCCTTGCACGAACGTATCTACACACGCACACGAGCAGAGGAGCTAAAGGGTCTCGTGACGCGTTGTTTCCCACGAGAACGTGCGGGAGAAGCTGCGACAGCCTCTCGGTCAACGAAGGAGGCTCGGGATAGAACCACGAACCGACGGAGGGACAGGGACAGAGAGAAAACGAGGGTAATCCGCTTAGATCGGCCGACACGCACGCCACGCACCGATGTCTCTCTTAGAGGCGGAGCATCGCGGGAGTGCGTGTACCGGCGCGTAGACGCGCGGCGGATGGAAACCGAGCGAAGAGCAACACGGCGGAAAATCGTGGAACATCGTGATTTGCACGCGCGTCACACGCCCGTGAGGGACCGATGATTCATCGAGGGCGTGCGGGCCGAACTAATTTCTGGGGATAACACTGTCGGCGAGCGATCTCGCCCGTGGATAATTACGATAATTGGGCCCGGGACGTGATTCTTCGCTCCCTCCGCCGTGGTTTTCGATCGGTCACGAGAATGTTACTTTCGCTGTGTGTACACACAGTGTACACCGAAGGAGGAGGAAACGGTTACATTGGCTTCGTTCCAGCCGTCCCCGCAATTTCGCAGCCCACGGCCAATCGCCGAACGCGACGCGAATTTTTCTGAGCGGCGCGTGTTCGAGTCGACCGCGCTTCGCTGGCCAAAGCGGGAGGGGGTTTCCGGGGGTGCGTGTTATTAGCTGACTTGATACCCTGAACCAAGGTAGTGGACCTTCGGCCCGTTCCGCGTGGTTTCACGCCGGATATGAACGACCGGCGTCGCGTCATTGACAACGACGTATGTTTGCGAGCAACACTTCGGACTGTTTTGATACCGTGGCTACGATAGCTACTTAACACTACGACTACCGGACGGGTCAAGTTCACCGACATCGGAATGTTTATTTCGCAAGTATTTCAATTGTGAAGCCGCTCCGCGAGAGATTTTAAATGAAATTTCTATATTCGTATAGAATAGTCGATGTTACTTGAATATTTATGCGAAATAAATCACTCTAATTGCTCGGTAGCTCAGTGTTAAATGTTCTACTGTCGGCGAAATTAATCCAGCTAATTGCGGCCATTTTTATCCGGCCACCATCGCTTATGGTGAATATTTATTATAAGCACTTATGAAACATACATGCAGAATCACATGGAGAATATAAAATCGCCCGACAATAACGACCGAAAGCATTATATCCCCCATTCGAGATTCTCATTAATTCATAGTCCGCTCTTCGGTTCATTCGAAACGCGCGTTTCCAATGGTTTCAATATCCGGCATCTTACAATCCCGCAGCTAACCTGGCCATCCATTAACGCCGCCAATTGGCATGTTGGAATTAATTTAACGCGCGCGCTCACGCTCGTAGCATATTTATTACATTTTATTCAGTCGCTGCTTGTCAGAGAAGGATGAAACTTATCCCTTATTAACGGACCAAAACGCGATGCAATTAATGGCGGCCCCGCAGCCGCGCGTACGCCGTGCCAGAGGAAATTATTTATATCGATCGTCGGATCCCCGGATCATAATACCCGCTGTAATTATTATTTACTCACCTTTACGGCGGGAGCGTCACGGAATTACGATTTATCCGTCGATGATGCAACCGCGAACAATTGCAAAATGGCCAGCAACCCCGATACGCGTGAGTGACCGAGCACGAACGCAGAGTACGGACAACACACCTGCGCAGCCATGCACGCATCGAGTGGGAGTGGGGGGTGGCAGCATTGCGTGCGCGAGACCTCGTGTTTCCTGTCGCGTCTAAACGATCACAAAGGCCACGGTGGATCGCAGACGCGTCTGAACGGTCCGAACGCGTGCCCACGAGGCCGTTCATCCGCATTTGTTTACACATGAGTCCGCTGCCTAATATTTCACGGGCCGGTTCGTCACTGCACACTCTAAACTCTGTTTATCCGCGCGCACACGTAACGTCTCCGCGAACCGCGACCACCTTCCCGCGACTGATTCAGTGCGCACGTCGATGGCGCAGCTCATTCGATTTCGACCAATCGAAACATTCGATTCGCGACTTTCGCGCCCTCACGAGCGTCCATCTTTGATTACCGGTTTTCGCGCCAGCATCTTAGCCTTGCGTGTGAATGAGTTTATTGTGAGAATGCTGGCGTGAGTGTTTCAACAACGATTTCCTGTAAACTTTAGGTAACTATACTTGAATCAGTGTTACTTTGTAGATAAGAATTCGACTCGTTCTAACGAGTAATTGAAGATATGGATATTGTATTTCTGCTATCTATGTTAAACGAAGTAGCATAGGTTAAGATACGTATCAATACCTTTTAATTAACACGTTAACTGCCACGAAATCATAAATTTAAATCTATTCTTGGCATAAATTAAAAGCTCATTAATTGGTATTCGCAAAAATGGCGAAGGTTAGTAGTCTATATAGACGAATGTTTGTTACCTAGGATTAAAAAGATGTCGGCCTCGACGAGGACGCAGGGGATCGATGCAGTCTAGCCGGTGAGTGAGAACTGCTCGAATATTTCCTCGCGATTTCGCTTTACGCGAACCGATATCGAAGATCGTAACACGAGCGGCGGTCACGCGGCTGCGGACCAATGGCCGCTCTCGATAAAAGTAATGTCGGTGTTCCGCGGAGCGTGATTCCGATGGTAAACATCAGGTGGAAAGTCACCCATCGCGTGATGGTCGCGATACCCGGACCGTTTAGACTTTCATCCTCTCTCTTTCTCGTGGCATGTAATTCGAGTGTTTCGCGTTACCCCGTCTAGAACAAGGTTATGGTGCGGAGGGGGTGGCTGGCAAGTGGTAGAAAGCCACGTTCGTGTATACCTGTGTCAGCACGAACTGCATTCGGTGCAATGGGTCGGGACGGTCCGGGCCGATCTAGGATCGGCGCGGCGGACCGGCTGGGACCGGCCACGGATTCCCATGATTCCGCGTCGATACGTTTTATCGTACGTAGAAATTGTTTTCGGCCGACTAACGGTCGTCTGTCATGAAACTCCGCCGGTACCTCCTAAGGAAAAACAGCTGCGGCGTGCTGCGCGCACTACGGGGCTGATTTGCATGGAACCGTTCAGCGCCTCGATAGCCCTATGACCCATATATGTGCACACGGAAACGTTTGCGCGCCGTTATCGGTCATTATTGCTCGACGTATGCCGAGAGGAATAACCATTAAGGGGGAGCAAAATTTCTGGTAATACCGCTGACGATAGATACTTTTCGCTTCCGCTTGACGATTTCCACGGAATCGTGTGATCTCGGTGCCCGATCTAATGCATCGATCGCGACTAATACGGTCGACGTAATCGTTGCGTGATTACGGTCCGCGTAATCTTTCCCTCGTCTTTTTTTTTGTCTACAACGTGGCAATTTCGCCGGAACTCGATTGGACGGCTAGAGATTGCTGAGGTGCACGGAGGACGGTCGCAATTACTCTTCCTGAGAAGCAACCGCGAGCAACTAATATCCGATGTAATTACTTCGGAAAGCGGAGAGGTCGCGAGAATGCGTGTACACGTGCGTGCAATGTTCAGGGGTCAGCGGAGGCGGTTCAATTATCGGGTACACGCTTCTAGAAACCATGAGGCCGAGCATGAAGTTGAGCGTTGCTCATGGGAACCTTTTGATACGCCGTTTACCGCGATCTTTTGCTCGGGAATACGACGCGTCGGTGCCGTCTTGATTTCGAGAAACAGAAACGACTTTCGAATGCGTCTAGCTACTTCATTGTTAGTTATTAATAGTTACCTCGATCTTTAACCTTTCCGTTTACTGTCGGGTCATAACGTTCATACTTTCTGCTTCGTATTGTTTCATATGCAAAACGCCGGAGGGAGATTGATATATTTTTGGAGTTGATGCACTAATAAAGCATGCATGCGCGTAACTGATATCAGCGAAAAGTCAAACTGTCAGGAATTGAAGAAAAATGGAGGTATCTTGCCATGCTTCCTATGTTTAGGCAAGTCTCCAAAATGGAAAGCTTCTCAGTTTTCAAGAATAGCTTCTCGCGTGGACAAGACTCTCTACGTATGCAGTCGAATCAAATGCCAGTTTATTCTCGTAACAAATGCCATCGTTTAAAGGGTGAAAAGCTGCACGAATCGTTTGCGAAGAGAACTGTATTCGTTCCATGGGCGCTATCTTCTCAAATATCGTATCGATCCGTAAATTCCCGTCGCGTCTACAGTTTCCGTATGAATAAACCATTTACAAAATTAAACGGGACGTTCTCCCTTCGAACAAATCGAAGCGACGCGGTGGAGGAGAGAGGGCGGCGAGCAGAAAATTCATCCCGCGCGCAATTGCGCCGTAAAATAGGTAGAGATTGCGTTTGTCTGTCGTAAGGGGAAGGTGCAAAGCCGCGTGGGAGACGCTCGCAGGTCCCGCAATCGCGCAACCGTGCTTTCGCTCACGCACCCGAATGCTTTCCCTCCGATGGCCACCCCGTTGTCGCCCGCCCCGTCGCGCCCCGTCGCAGAATTTGCATATTTATGACTGTTTATAATGTATAATTGACGGGAATCCGCATACTCATCGCGAGCAAAGCTACCGGGGCTAGAGACTACGCAACCTTCCGCGAGCCACCAAATCAGATTACCGGCTTTGCATTTTGGCTCGACCTCGGCCACAACCGCCGTCGTCTCTCTCTCCATTCATTTCCCTCGTTCCCCACCCCCGCCCTGTTTCATTCAGTCTGCCAGCGGTCAACTCTTACCTCGCACATTTTCTCTGTCCGAAGCCACCCGACTCTTTCCCAGTTATTCGTCACCAACAAAGTGCCCGGCAGCTTTTTGTGCCTCGGACGTTGGAAGAGGGAGCAATTAAAAACCACGGCCGACTCCGCGGCAGCCGGTACGCGGAAGTGGCTCGACGGTGACGGGGCGAGGTCGCTTTTTCACCTGTCGAGTGACCCGAAGAACGCGAATTTTACAGCCACGCAATTATGCGCGGGAAAAGGAACCGCGGCTCCTCGCGACTCACCAACGCGTCACAATCGAGCTGGAACTTTCCAAAAATAATGAATTATTCAGGAACCTGTTGTTTAATCAGTCCCTCTTTGCTCGATGGGTCGGCAGACCTACACGATTCGTTCCTAGATCGGCCGTCGTACTTCTTTATTTTCCCTCCGTTTCATCTCGTGAAAGAAGATGTAGCCTCCCGTTGTCACGCGGTCTGATCTAGATAACGTAGCTTCGAACCAGAGGTGGACACACCTTTCTTCTGTTCCCCAATCAGCTTATCCGGACGAAGCCCGACGTTGAATCGCGATACAGCCACGCTACCGAACAAGATCGGCCCCGCGATCTCGTGCGTTTTCGTCTTCAATCGTCGAGGTGTGCTTTAGGCTTTCATATTAGATTCTCGCGTGGCGTCCGAGCAGCTTAACGATCCCCGGAGATATTTACGCCAGGAAATCTTTCTTCCTCGGGTTCGTTTTCTAGCTTCGTTGGAAACGCTTACCACCTGATCGCGTCTCGCGACGACTCGGCGAGCAGACTAGCAGAGATACACGCGATTTCGCCATTGCTCACGCGAATTTCGCGAGAGGGAACGCAATTACAGAACAGAGCTGGTCGGAAACGGGTCGCCTTCCACTCGTGGCTGGGCAACGCTCTTGATAAAAGGTCGCGAACGGCTAATTTTCCAGTTAACGAGGACGCCCGCGCGCGTCGCTCGCCACCGGCCACTTTGAAGGTACTAAGACCGTTCGCGCGGTTGGAAACTTTTCCTCCATGACCCCCGACTATCTCCGCTCCGCTGAAACGCTCTTTGACCGCGCCGAATTTTCGACGCTCTTCCCGTGTTCCGCTATTTCCTCCATTCGACGGTGGCACATCTGAAAATGTTGTAAACAAACACGTCCATTTCCGCTGTTTGCTGCGGCTACTTTTTCCCCTTATTTGTGGAGAGCTTTCGTACAGGTGTGCGTTAAACAAACGGTTCGCGGACCTCGGTTTCTTCGGCAATTGCGCGCATGTCTGCCGCTTTAATCTGGAACGGTGTACTCCGAAGATCAATTTGCTTTTACATTATACGATATGTATAAAGTCGATCGTGTAAAGTCACGGATATCTTTGAAATGCGGCAAGATGCGGCGGGACGGGGCGTGGTGAAACGGGAACGGAGAGGATTAGGGGAAGACTCCGAATATTTCGCGGGTTCTCCCTTTAATTAGGGGCAATAAAATGGACAGTAAACTGCGCGCCGACGAGCGGTGCTCAACGGTGTAACAAATGTTCATGGCTGACGAGTCGACGCGCCCAGGGGTCTGTTAAAACGCGCGGAGCGCAGAGCTACTCGCACGAGCCACGCGTAAACCACGGCCGTTCGACGGCGGAGCGATCGGAAAATAAAAGGGGTGGCAGCGGTTGAGAGGAGGGAATGGCGGAATGCCGCGGCGAGGAGAAAGATTTCGATAATCGCGTTCCATTGCTGGTAATATGAGATACATTACCGCGATAATAGAATTTCATACGCAATCAATTATCGTATCGGCGGGCGGCCGCGACGGAACACGTCGAGGGAGGGAACCCACAGTATTTTTGTTTAATTGAAAATCAATGGCCGCCGCTCCCGGTCGAACGATCCTGAAAATGAGCAGGAATTTTTCGACATTAACTATGCACGGCCCGAACTAACGCGACGCTCCTGGGCACGATTTATACGCGTAAAATCGCGGCCGCGCGCACGTGTAAATCGGGAAACGGCGCGGGGTGTGCGCTAAAGAGGAAACGCGTGCGGGAATGGGAACGAAAAAGGGAAAACACCGGGGGAACGCGGACGGG